TTCGGAATTTTCCGCCTGGCCAGGGCTGTTTACTTATGAGATTGCCCTCCGGTTTCCCTCAGGTTTTCCCAGGTTTCCTGTGCCGTTTGCTTTTGGGTCAAGGCATTTAAAAATGAAAAAAAAAATGGAAAATAGAGAAAGAAAGATTTTCATTTCATAACGACATTTTTTCTCCTGTCATCTGGCCACAAACACACGGCACGTGTGTGGCCCCCCGGACAACGTGTGGTATGTGTAATATGCGGCGCAGGGCGTTGAGAGCCCCGTCGACAGTCGACATCTTTAATGACAATAACGAATGTCCGCACTCTGATTACGTGCGACATTTACCCCAAAGCAGCCAAAGCAGCAACGCTTCCATAAAAGTGTGCTAACACACATTTCATGAGGCACTGAAAATTTGGACTAGTAGGATTTTGTGGTACTTTGTAGGGCACAAACAGGGATGGGATTAAAATGTAAATTTAACTATGTTTGAGAAAGGGTAAAGTTCCAGCTGCTTTTGGCACAAGTACATAAAAATAATCTCTGCTCTAAAAGAATAACTTTGATCGATAGGTATTTGAAAAGGCAAATTTTTATAGATTTTTTAGAGACTTGTTTAATAAGGAATAGGAATTTATTCACAAAGTTCAGAAAAAATAAAATCAATCTTCATAAAGTGTGAAAATGATTGTTATTCGCAGAGGTAAGCTTTCAAAGTACCAATTTTATCAGAAAAGGAAATAAGCTATTTTAAATTGTTATGATAAAAAGTGTATTAAAAAAAGGTATATTAATTAGTTACAATTGAAGTCAAAAAATTTAAACGTAATTATATTATATAACTAAATTGCAAGACATACAATTTCTAAGCTTTGGGACTTACTTTGGAGCTCAAATTTTGAAAAGTAATGCCCAGAAAGGCTTAATTCCTTTGTAGAAAATAAAGTTTAATATATGACAAATTAACCCAGAGCTTACTGTAGCTTGAAACACAATTACCAGACCAAGCAGGATGTTGTAAAACAAGAGACCACGAAAACAAGGCATCATATTTTCCTTTGGCCAGATGAAAAGATGCGTTAAAGTCGCCCCGCGGGCCACAATACTTAATATTTTGCGTTGACAGTACGTGTCAATGGAGGGGCGACCAAGGAGACCAAGGAGACCAAGGCGAGTAGGGCGACCAACTGTCAGGGTGGCAAAGGAACAAAGAAAATAAATAATAACAAAGGACATTAATCATGACAACGACAAGGCAAAGGACTCTTTTTTGTTTTTGTCGCCCGATACGAGGGACTTTCTGGCAGGGCCAATGGCAAAGCAAACATGATGCACAGCTCGTTAAAGGGCAGCATAACAAGTACACATGCATACATACTATAAAACAGGACCTGTTTTCGCTTTAAAGTCCTGCCTTTGCTCCTTCTCCTGCCTACTTGACTTGCTAAGCGTTTAATGCCATCGCACACACATGTGCCAAGCAAACAGAATAACAATCAAATAAAAAAGCTTGGCGGATGAGGATGCATTGCCTCTTTTCCCGGCTTTTCTCCCTGTGTTTTTTTTTTGCCACGGCTTAGTTGCAGCTGCAAAAGTTGTCGCTGCTTTGGAGCTTTATTAAGTGTAAATAAGCGGCGGCATTTCACAGCAGCTCCGGGTCCTGCAGCCACATTCCTTTGAGTGGGGCATTCCTTACGGCAGGACATCAAGCCACACAGCCGGAAAAATAGAGTGCTTTTTTGTTTCCCGCCACGAAACTAGTAACTCAGATGCTCAAAAGGCTTTCACAAAGCAGCAAAAGAAAACAAACATGGTGTTTGTATCTCACAGGAACCTAATAAATGGAATTTTAAATGTTCTTAGGGGTTTTGAAAATTAAAATATTTAAAATATTTTACAAGCTTTGTGGTTACTACCTTATAAGTTACACAAACTCCTTAAAAAACCTTTTATTTAATTTATCTCTTTTATTTTCCATATAGAAATTCAAGAACAAATCGTTTTCAAGAACAGAGAAATCTTGAAAAAAATGTATTTGTTAACAGATTTTAGTTTCTTCAGTTTGTGGTTACTACCTTATAAGTTACACAAACTCTTTAAAAAACCTTTTGTTTAATTTATTTCTCTTATTTTCCATATAGAAATTCAAGAACAAATCATTTTCAAGATCAGAAAAATCTGGAAAAAAATGTATTTGTAAACAGATTTTAGTTTCTTCAGTTTGTGGTTACTACCTTATAAGTTACACAAACTGCTTAAAAAACCTGTTACTTATTTTATCTCTTTTATTTTCCATATAGAAATTCAAAAACAAATAATTTTCAAGAACAGATTAATCTTGAAAAAAAAAAAGAATTTGTAAAAAGATTTAAGTTTCAAAGACAAGTAATTACTAAAATTTGCTTAAGTCATATTTGATCCCTATTTGCTTCGAATGAATTGGCAGATTTTCAAATGTTTTAAGTGGAATATTTTTTTCTGTGCCAGCTCCTTTAACATGTTGCTGCCACTGAGCTGTTTTTCATTTTCTCCCCAACGCCGCCGGCTCCTTGATTTATGCGAACTCATTTTATTCATAAATTTTAAACACGTTTGACGTCCTTGGGTTGGGGGCTGTGGAAATCGGGCGGAGTGGTTTTTCCCTCTGGTATGCCAGCTGTCTCTGGTGCGGGTGGTTCGTTGATTTATCTAGCCACATTTCTAAACAAATATTTTTGGCCCCTTTCCGGACAACCGACGCCAGTGACCCCAACAAATTTGGCACGCAATTAGGCGGCCCCTGGTTCTGTTCATCTTTTCGTTTTTTTTTTTTTTGTTGGTCCACTCCGAAACGAACGTCCTGCATAAATATAAACTTTTTATGGCAGCCACTTTGACTTTGTCTAGGACTAATAAATTGAGTGCCACTTCTGACCGGGCCAAAAACTAGTTGACAGAAGGATGGTAGCTCAAGTTATACATTTTGTGAGGCACCGAAAATGTTTATTTGCCTACGGTTCATCCGGCAAGAGACTGCTGGATGTCAACACTGTTCAAATATGTGTCAAGTACCTGTCCAAAAGTTGTTTGTTTATCAGATAAGCAAGATCTGAAGGACTCCGAAAGGCATATGCAATTTAAACCAGGAAAACATTGACAGTACCAGAGAGCCATTATCAAAGATGCCAAAAAGTATGCAATGAGTATTGACTGCTCAAGCATGATTTGTAAGGATAGTAAATACTGTCTTATTTATTGAAATTTACTTCTGAAATTGAAACTTTGTTATGTTTGTCTTAGACTGAAGTATTTCTTATTAAAAACGCCCGAAAGCATATCATCTTTAATTTGCACTTTTCATGACGCCTAAAGTTATGCAATCAAAACTGAAAGGATTATAAAACCGAACTAAAGAAATTATTGCCTTTCCTTTATGCACCACTTTCAACAGCACTTTCCTCAAGACTTTTGTGAATCAGAAACTTATCCTTAATTTTCATCCACATCTGTCTTTCTGCTCGTTCATTATCCTGCCTTCTGTGTGAACGACAAATTTCCAATGAAAATCCTAACGAACTCGCTTGTCTCATTAGCATTGCAGTGCTCTGGTCATCTGCCAAGTTCAAATTGTCCTTACAAAATGGTATAGTATGAAACGAAAAATCTGCTTCAAATTAAAATGAAAACCAAGAGTGAGTAGCTTTATTTGGTTTCAATTTTAATATACACTGCCAACTCAATCTTTGCATGTTAAACATGCTTTTGTGCAGACTCTATTTATCTGCAAAAATAAAACTCATCAATTTTGAATTTCATTTATGCAGGACTTTGAGTGCGAGCACTACCTTTTCCCTATCTACCTCGTTTTACCTGCACTTTGTGTGCGATTTATTAGAAATTCCGTTTCCAAAGTGACCCGCAATGGACCTGCCTGCCTGCATTCTTCCCTTGCCAAATTCAAAATGGAAAAGGGGGTTCTGGGCCGACAATCGAATACGCATTTGGTTCGCAGACGGAGGCAGAATTGAAATCGAAATCCAAATTTCAAATATGATGACTGATTGCTGGCCTGGGGCGTACAGGTAAAGGTTGCTAGGCATCCTGTGATTCTCATCCTGCGGCTCACTGCTCAGTTGCAAGTCAGCAGTGTGCATCCTGAGTGAAACCCATCCTCAAATAGAACCGCCCCTCTCATTTTACATGGATTTATGCCAGCCCTGCTGGATGCCAAACCCAAAACCCGAACTAAATCCCATGCAAATTCCCTGCAATTGGCTTTGAGAGGAGACTAAATAATATAAAGCAAATTGAACTGAACGCCTCTGGGCGTGGTCGATTTACGATGCGTTCAAATTGATTTAATTAAATGCAAATAAGTTTTAGCCATTGTCGCCTTTTTTGCGCTTCAATGAATTTAATGTGCAATTACTTTTCCAATTTGCCATAAAAGAATAAACACACACACAAATCTTGATTGCTTATTCCCTGGGCCTGGGAAATTTGTTGGCTGATTTTTCACCATTTTCCGACGCCTCAACATCACGTTTCCTTCATTTTCCTCTTGTTTCATATTTCTTGTTCCTTCTCTCGGCTCTTTGGTTTTCATTAATGTTTAGGCAGCTTTTAATTTGCGCTCATTAATGATGGCCAGAGGGGGAAAAATCGAAGGAAGAGCCCCCGAAAAACAGGATTCGCTCATGAATTTTCATTAATTTCCGCAAAATTGTTGTTGCTGTGGCCGGTTTTTTTTTTTCGTTGTGTTGTACATGAAAAATTCATTAGACTTTTTGCATAAATTATGGCCGGGGCAAAGTACCATGAAGATAGGAAAGGCCTGCCAAAAAACAACTGAAAATTATTCCGCAAACTTTTCCAAAAACATTTGGCTGACAAAATCGCCCAATTTTATCGTTGAAGCGAAAGCAAACTTAGGTCAAATATTTGACGCCCCAAAAGTTTCCACCTGACAGCCCCCGGAGACCAATTAAAGTTGTTCAACGCAGGACCCGAAAATGTCAAATTAAATGTGACCTACTTTTAGCGATGTTTATTAAATTAAATTGTCGGATTTCGGTGTTGTATTAAATGCCATTTTGGTTGCCACTAAACGGCTAAAATTATTTTGTTCGCGGTTTTAGTAAACCAAAGATTAATTACAGATGATTTAGCTCGAGGTCCAAAAATTACAAAAATATATCAAATATTACAAAATGATTTTAATTAAAATTGGAAAAAATTAGCTCCTTGGGTCGGGAAGCTTTATAATGGGCTTGTTAATTCCTTTGAAGAAACTAAAAGCTTTGGTGCTTGCTTTCCTTGTGGGTTCTTCTTTTTGCAGACTTGGTAAGATTTTCACTTTGTTTAATGATATTGGAAGGGATTTGGTTTCTTCAGATTTCGGAGTCTTCTGATTTTGACTGCCTTTAGTAAAGGGTACGGATTTGAGAATTGGAGAAGCCACCGAACCACCAGCCATTGTCATTCTTCGCTGAATACCAGATCCAGGTTGTGAAAAGGATTTCGGGGAACCAACATAGGACACAGGCTGATATGATTTCGGTTCGTCTTTGGAGACTTTCCTATCCAAATTTTTAGAAAACTCATGCTCATTTTTTCCATGTACTTCAGGGGATGCCTCCTCATCCTCACCAGATCCCGATTCTATTTCATCACTACTCTCCTCCGTTTCCTCATCCGAATCCGAATAGGTTTCTTCTTCATAATCGGAATAATTATCTTCCCCTGAATCGGTATAGCTATCATAATCGGAATCATTGTCAAACTCTCCATCGTTTTCATCGCTATCCTCAATCTTAGAATTCAGATATTCCTGCACCAGTTTTCTCTGTTGCTTAACAGACATACTCAGCTGCTTCGACTTATCGAATACCTGGTTAACCAAATCATCCATACACGCAGGGCTCAAATCTTTAGCCTTCCTGCCAGCTTTCTTCGAAACCCGAAGCTCCTCCTCGGACATTTTCAGAGTTTTGCTCACTTAAAATTTTATGTACACCGATAATTTTGGTTTATTATCAAAAAAGAAAAACCAGATTCGTATCAAACGAATGGCTGAGAAAGAATGAGGTTTTCCGTTTGAAAATCAACGAAGTTTTAATTTCGCCTGCTTTGATTTGGTATTTAAGTGAGATGAATGACTGAGGTGTAGTCTATAATTTTTGCGAAAAGCGTAGTTCTGACAATTAGATTTGCAGCCATCACCTAATGAAGAAATATTTGATTTTTGACCCTAATTTGTTTGGCCCACCATCACCATCTAAATCAATTACTGTGGCGCCACAAAGTGTTGTATGCCACGCAGGTGGGGCAATTTATTGGTGCGGTCGCCTCTTCGGCAGATAAATCAAATCATTAGTTCGGAGGTCACTCGAGTGGGGTATGGGGTCAAAGGTGCCCTAATGCTGAAAGGCAGGGTGTATTAATGCCAAATTAGAGACGCCCAATGGAGCGTGATTACAACAGGCCAAACATCGCAATAGGAACACATAAATACCCATTTGCCTTTTGGGTTTTGGGGTTTCTGTGGGGGCAAAACGCTTATTTGCGTATGCGTGGCACATAAAAATCCGGTTCTTATTAAATTTCCGCACGCCTACACATGTCCTATGGCTGGATTCTTGGGATACCATCCTAAGGAGCAGCTGTTGGTCCTGGCTCAATGAATTTTGCATGTTTTCTCTCGGCCCATATAGGTTTTAATATTTTTACACTTGCCTTAGGTTAGGAAGCACTTTCTTCCTTGACTTTGGTTTTCTATTTGTTTGCCTTTTGGGACAGAAGTTGTCTTTGTTACACCTTCAAAAAGAGGGCCAAGTAAACAATATTAACATTACATTAACATTTATTTGACTTTGCCAAAGGTTTCCCCCTACCCACTTTGCCTCAAATAAATACATTTACATACATTACGCAACATATGAGGGCTTTCTGTAGTTTTTTCCCAACTCTCTAGTTGCCATTAAAAGGTTCTAATAGTCCACTGCCAGGGGCAAGCTTATAAAAATCCACAAAAAAAAAGGAACACGAAACCATATTGGGAACCCCAAAAATAGGAACTTCAAAAGGCAAGCCAAAACAAAGTGCCAACAAAGTAATTGCAGGGATTTGCCTTGCGGCCAGCTCGATGGGGAAATTTCATTTTTTTTGGATGGGGGCTAGACCATTTTCCCTGCTGCTATATATGTGGGTAAATAATACTCAAAGAGGCGGTTTTCCGGGGAGCTGAAACGAAGGACTAGCAACCAGTTGCCGCGCCATTTTCTCGTTTTGTTTTTCCCTCACATTTCCCATTTCTTTTTTTTTTTTTAATGTGCCAAAATGTATGACTGTAACTGCTGTGCATGGGTTGTCGTTTGAGCAATTTTACGCATATTTGCACTTAAATATAACATCTCCCAGGCTTACAAACATACATATGTATATGCCTGGGTCCAGATATTTACGATGTCACGTTAATTTTTATGACATTTTCTCGCTGGCAATTCGGTTGCCCCTTAAAATGTCCGCCGCCAGACAGCGATTCTGATTCCCATTATGTCAGCTTTATGAACGGGATATGTATCTCAAAAGGGCACAGAAGCACAGGCTAATAAACCTATTAAATTTGGTGATAAATGTTCGAGAGGGGACTAAAAAACCTGTAGATATTTTCGGTCATATTTGGGCATTAAAGGTGGAATGGTCTTAATAAGGGAAACATATATGGATCAGAATTATAATACTTTTTTATGTAAGATTTTGGTATTTCATTGGTAAAAAGTTATAACAGGTACGTGGAACATTTATAAGGAAATATTTTTAAACATCTCTTCCTTAAGATTTGTATTATCCATTTAATAATATATTACATTTTTATCCATAAAACATCACATAAAATAAAATTGAACTTATCGTGTCTGAATCCAATTTTTATTTCGAATTTTCCAACCTGATATTCAATATTTACAGAGCTCCAGACATTCGAGGCCATCGATAATGGCTTCTATTTTATTGTTATAAATTTGTTCTACCTCTATATATTTTGATATGCCTGCATCTTAACGATGATTACTGTTATTATTCATTAGGCCCGCTTCTGTCAGCCATCCAGCTGGTTTTTTTCCCTGGTCTCCCTTGATTATCTGCAATTTTTCCTGCCCTTGGGGGATGGGGAAAATGTAGGAGTGTCTGGCCATGGTTCATTGGCCATTCAATATCTTTTCTTCCGCTCGATTGCTTATCTCTAGATGGAATACAGGGGGCAGGACCTGGCCTGACCTCCGGCCTCTTTGCTTCCCCAGGTGGGCGGCATCTTAAGAAGGGGCGTAACCCTGCACAGACAGATGATGTGTGTGTATGTGTGCTAGCTCATTGTTTCCATTTTATCTCTTAATTACATCTTCATCTGGCCATTGAGAGCCTTCGGCTCGGAAAGTTTAATTAACTCGCCAGTAGTACCTCTCTTATGGGCCAGTCTGAAGTATCGATGAGCTGCAGATGCGAGTGCTCCAAAGCGATACTATGGCCATCCTGCGGACCAGTGCGCAATTTTATGTAACCACATAATTGAATTGCCACTAAAATCTACTAAATATGACAGAATCAGGCGTGTGCAGGCATTGGGCTGGCCACAAATTCATTAATACCAGGAATGCTCGGGAAAATGCCGATAAGGATGTCAAACAGCCCGCATTCAATATTACCCAAAATATTATTCCACAAATGTTATTTCCTGTGGCTTGCCATTTGCATGAGGTATCAAATGTTTTACCTGGGTTTTTTTTATAATTAGATTATGTTTCTAGTACATTTTTTCTTGCCATATACATTTCTACACTTCCTTTTAGCCTTTTTTTGTGCAAAATATCTACGCTTATTGAATTTCATTAGAGATTTTAAATTTAATAAAGACTGGTCAGGCAGGCTTTTATTTCTTGTGGTGTTGATATGGTTATGAGAATTTAATTTAAATGTTCAGAATTTGTAAAAAATTCATGGCAGATTTAATTTAAATATTAAGAACTTGTAAAGAGAGATAGTAAATTTCTCTTTTAAACTTTTGCTAGCAATTTTCAGCAACCAATTTCGGAGGAAGTCTCTAATCTCCGCCGGCCAATGCAACTAACTGTTTTCCACTTAGCACGACTTAATCCCCTAAACGGAAACTCAAACTGAAAACTGGGATGAATTTTCCTCTTCTCCCGGGGAAAAGTAAGAGGACAATGGGACCACACATATACTATATAGGGCTGTAATTTACTATATATGGTGCAAAGTGCGTTGTGAGCCTGTCGGCAGTAATTGCGGCGCTTAAAACGACAGAAGAGTTTAGGTCTCAGCTGCAAATGCAAGTGCATTTTCAGTGGCATTTTCCCCAAAGCTTTCTGGTGCTTTTCTGCTGTTTTCCCACGCCATTTCCCTCTCAAATTGAGCATGCCGAAAAAAAAGAAAGGAGGTGGGGGAAAATAACTCGTAAAAAGTTTGCCATCCAGTGAAGCGCAAGGATATCTCCTTCATCGAGAGCCTTTCTTCGGCCCAAGGCATTCTTTTCGGTTCACTGTTCACTGATACTCGATTATGTCGGCAATATGTTTACGTTAACAAAGCTCCCTTTCTCCACAGTATATAAGAACATCCTTGCCGGCGAGGCAGACAGCAATTTGTTCCAAATGACTTGAGCGTGGCGCAAATTAAGTGCATTTTCATTAGTTGCAAGTTGTTTGCCATTTGAGAAATTAAATTGCCGTTGCAGAGAGAGAGATAGAAAGTCAAGGAGTTGAAATCGGAGGGGCTTCAAGTTACCCCACAGCAATTATTTTTCCGGCTCACAATCACCCTATCCGAAAAAAGGGAAAAGCATCCAACTATCCACCACTCGAAGCAGTCATCCAACCTTTATGAATTTCGACCATGTGCAAAGTTATTTGGCAGTGTAAAATGTGAAAAAAACGGCAGGGGAACCTTGCTCCATTTTGAGCTCGCTGGGGAATCAACACAAATATTTTTGGTTTGGTGAGGGGAAAAAATACCGTCAGCTGGAGATTTTTCTGGTTTAAGCCGAGGGAAAGAAGAATGCATCAGAATTTCCACCTAAAAAAAACACCTAGTCATGTTTTTGTTTCATAGACTTTGAAAGCCCGTAACTTTGCTGCAAAAGAAAAATGAAAAAAAGAGGTGACAAAAAGATAGCACCTTTATAGTTTGAAATTTAAAACTGAAACTGGGGATTTTCAATAAACTCATGCAATTTGCAAGCTAATAAATCCTTTGGCATAGCATATAAAAAGCAATTTACACAGCTCTTTTCAAATTGCCGCACTAAATCAATAGCTCTCTCTCTCTATTTTAGATGGGAAAAATTCGAACCCTATAGCTGGGATTAAAACGAACCTATATCGACATCTATATAACTCAGTACAATTGCGGTTTGTGTGCCAAATCAACCGCAGAACATGATGTAAAATGGCAGCCAGAGGTTCGCCGCATTGCATTTGGCCGAAAATGAATTGTATAAAAGGCGTATACGTAACAAGTTCGTATATTTTTTTTCCAGGTTTCTACATGGAAATTGCATTAGCACTGCAGCCAATTTGAAAAGTTTTCAATGCCCAGACCAGGCCAACTAATTAATAATGCATTCGCATCTGATTTGAAAATGTGCGAATTGCGCGAAAACGAAAATGAAAATGTAAAATGCAATTTTCGATCCAAGTTGGCTTTGCATTTGGCCTGGATTTCGCTTTGAGATTGAACTGAATTTCATTAAATGCCTAGAATGTGCAGGGCGAAAATATGAAAAACTATCTGGCACTGGGAGAAAGCTCTACGGAATGAGTGCAAATATTTGTTTTTCAAATGAAATGAATAAATGCAATGCCCGACCATGGACAAAGTTAGCTGGTGGCTCAGCTTTTATTTGTTGTCAGTTTAATGAAGTTGTTTTTTGCAGAGCTGATCCGCTTGGTTGGCCGTGTCAAAGGTCAATGTGTGTGTTAGAGAGACACACTGTTGCATGCAACAGGGGGCTCTCGAGGGGCAAGTGGCATGTTGTAGCGGCTGCTCCTTCTTTTGCACCAGCGGCAGCTGC